TATTTGATAAAATTTGTATGACGTTACTTCAACATAGCTGTCTAATTAGTCGAACTTTAACAACTATTTATCATTGTGTGTCAGTTAAAACAAAAAAAATTCTCAAAAATTTGCCGAAAATGCAAACTTATCCTACATCAGAGAGAAATTAATATGATTCTATTAATTTGTGAATGCAGTGTGCTTTCACCAATTAACAGAGTACTTAAATGCTCCTGATTTTATCTAGTCTGGATTTTTTTATGGATATATGTTAAAGATAGTGTTTACAAAACTCAACCAACTATTGTCGACAACATGAGAAAAATTATTGTAGCTGCTTTTCGAGGTAGAACTCCACATAATGCCTTTTAAAATAAAAAGATCCTTTTGAAAAGACAATCATTTGATGCGGTTAAGACGAAAGGAAGCTAATTCTTTTCACATAATTTATAGGTTTATATCTAGTTTTAATATAAAATATTTAATTTTTTTAACGTGTATCTTTTTATTACCGTTGAGTATTTTACTCTACATTCTTTAATTTTTGTTAAATTAACAAAAGGTATATCACAGCCACCCCTCCTAGATTTTTTCAAATAATAAAGATAATAACGCAAAATCATAAAAATTAAAATATCTAGGAAAATCTTTGTCTGAGGGGTAGACAACCTTAACAATATTTTGAAGATATATAAATTCTCCATTGAATATCGGAATAATATACTGGGTGTTTCATTTAAAATAAAGGAGTAACTTGCTTTTAAAAGTTATTAATGTTCCATATGAATTTTGTCTCACCCTATATAACTTTTCGGGTCAAATTTCAATTTGGTTTAACATACAATGGTTACTGTAATTAAATATCAGGCTATTCAAGGTCAACTAAAATTTAGGTAGCTGTTATCGAAATTTAAAATTTACTGTTCATTTTCACAAAATGTGAAATATGTCAAAATCCTTAGATTTTAGATATATGCTTCTTTAATCAAACTGTCGTTCTCCTTAGAGCTTCCGCGGCGTATGAGAGGCGCCACCCTGTATACACCCTCGTATATTAGGCAAATAAAAATAACAGTTTCGAAACATGTGTGTGCAGTTAGTCGCATGAATAAGACCCAGGTACGTAACTGTTCCCTAAATGTAACAAAATATTGCTCACTGGGAAATATACCGAAATTTAAGTCTGCTATAAATATTAAAGTACCATCGCGGTATTGCTAATTCCCTTAATCTCTTTTATTTTAGATTAATATTAAATTTTCTTCTGCCGGCCAGATTTTATTTCTCAAATTAGCTATAATTTAATATTTGGTATTCTTAGTCAGTTTTAGTGTTATCTGTATTCAACTAGCACTCGAACGAATTGCATCTCGCTAATTCCCGAGTTTACGTAAAGTTAGTTAAAGAGAAAGATTTCAAGTTTGAAGCCAGCTAACGACTTTGCCAACTAATTTTTCACAAATTCGGAAATATCTAAAGTTTGTCAGAGTTGATTTTTGTTAATTACCACTGTAGAATAAGCAATTTATTCAGGTATTCTTGTGAGGTAGTAGTAACGAGTAAACTAAAATACACGCCCATACTAAAATTAATAAAAAGTTGGTAGGCAGTTCTCTTAGTTTCAAAGTAAAGGAATTTTTCCAATTTTTTTTTATCTCAAAAACTGCGACTTTGACTGATTTTGATGTTATTACAAATTTTGTTGCAAATATTATTCCTAATCTTAAATTGAAAACCGCATTTCGCCATAGCTACTGTAATTTTGGAGTTACGATTTTTTAAAATTTTTAACCCCCTCCCATACTCCCTTACCAACTCCCACCCCCTCAAAAACTAATGGCCAGACTCTCGGGTGCCACAGTATTTTTGTGCCAAATTTGGTTAAAATCGGCTTAGCGGTTTTTGAGTTATCGTGTTACAGACAGACGGACAGAGAGACACCATGAAAATATTTTGTATTAAGGTCATTTATGACCCAAATAACTCATTTTGAGTGAAATTAAAAAAAACTTTTTTTTTGCCAATCTTAATAGCCTACCATACCTGTTACCTGTTAGTATGAGGTTTGTTCCAACCCACCTCAGAACCGTCACCGAACGATCACGCTCGTGCGCAGTAATTCAAATGTGTTCCAACCGAGATTTGACGGTTATCGGACGATCCTATTTGCGTACCAACCTACCTTGGGATCGTTTATTTACGACTTCAGAACGGTAATTTCGGTACATGATCCAAATTGAGAACTGTTTGGGTTGACTTGCGTATTAAAGCATATTGGCAGGGATTATCGATTTTTAACAGCTGATTCTGGTCCGGCGTCCGGCTGATGCTTCTGTCTTGGTTATTTTTTACGAATTCGAATACGTGTGCGTTATACTTTTGCTTGTGAGTTTGTGTGGAACAAATCTTTCGGAAATTTTAATTAATTTTTTATTTATAAAATAATGTTCAAAGATTCTACCACTGCAATGAAATAACAGGATCATAAAAGAGAGGATAGGTAAGTGAGTTAGTTAGTATACAGTTGAAACAACACTTACAACAATTACTGGATTCTGATTCTCCATTTCAAGAATAATAATTATTATTATTGCAAATTGCAGACAAAAATAATAGGGTTATGTTATGAAATTCTAAACAAAAATAAAAAACCGATCGATACACGCACGCTTGACACTTTTGACAGTCCCAAAAACAATCCACAAAGTGTTCCAACAGTGATACTTTTGCACCGCCACGGAACTATTCGAAGTTCGCGCATGCTAACAAAGTGCAAGAAAACCGATTCTAGGACGATTTCGAAACGATCCCGAATTGCTGGTTGGAACAAACTATGGTCGGCTAAAAATATATCCTTCACGCACTTGTTATACACTGCATATTTTGCAACGAGTATGAATAAATATCATTAGTTTGTAATTGAGTCTAATGTATTACTACTACATTAATTGACTATTCCTCTAAGGTTACACAAGAATTGTTTAATAGTATTAACCACAATATAGAAAAATATATATATTTCTTTTCTTTTGTTTTTTTTTTTATCAAACCATGCTCAGTGCTATAAAAAGGAAACCACCGGGGACGCCACATTGGTTCAGATTCAATAAAATCGACGCATAGGGATAAAGAAAAAAATTTCGAAAATTTCAACAATGATATTATTTTCAACAGATGATGGGTCCATTTATTCAAATTTATCACGATCCACTTTTTAATCGTAATAAAAAAGCGTACAGGAATGTTGTTTTCGTTAGATTTTGTAGTTTAAATATATCAGTTATTTGCTGATAATGGTTTAGTGTTGCTAATATATTTTGGTTCTTAGTTCAGAGACTTGGAAATAAATTAAATTAAAATGGATTTTGAAGATCAAGGTAAGTACTTTTTAAGAGAATTTTATTAACTTAAATATTTTTTTATGAAGCTAGTAGTTACCACAAACATAGAGCGTTCTTTTGAAAAAAGTTAAACTTTGAAATTGCGTATCTTTAGAACTCCGCAGATCTCCGCTTCTGTATTTTATAATTTTTAAACGGTATTATACCAAGTTTAATTTACCACAAGTATCTTACCCCAAGAGATCCCGAGGTAGATGATATATAAATTAAAATTTTAAATTGACCAGTAGTCTGATTTTTGTTCCATGGATAATTTCTTAAATTATTATACTAATATTTTTTGAGTAACTCTGGAGTGGTAAAAGTGTAACTACAGAGAGACTCACATGTTCCTCCGTACTCTATTCCTTTTATTATAGGAACAATAAGCCGCAGGTCAATATGTGAGCGGTTTTTGAAAATGGGTTTTAATAATAGGTCAGAAGCGGATATTATTGATGAAATTATTTCATTTTTGTGTGATAATAATATACCTAACATATTATCGAAAAATAAGCAAATTGAAAATTTTGTTTATAAATGGTCAGAAAAGTGGAGGAAATGTAGTTATACTTGGAGCAGTTTTATTTCCAACAATTGTCTCTGGCTGAATAAAAATTTACTTCAAATGGAAGAGAATCAATCTTTTGATGACCCTGGCCCTTCAAGAAGATTTTTTTTCAGAATTCTCCAAGTCCCAAAAAATAAAGAGACCGAAGGTATATTGCCAAGGAATTAATTTATAATGTCTTACAGAAAAAAACATGTTTTTTTATCTACATAATGCTGCAAATATTGCATTAATGCTTTTAATTAATGGCAAAGATTAAAAATCAATTTATTTCTAGAAATTAGAGATTCTTACACCTCGGAATCTCGTTTCTAGTTTAAGGAAGGAACATAACAATAAGACGGGAAAAGCAGTCCAACTAGGGTTTGAATTTCCGGAGAAAGTAGTCGCCACTAAAAATAGGTGAAGATTTACCCGCAGATGACATTCATATGGCAACAGAATATTATTGTCAATCAGATAGTGAAGAAGAACTAGAAGAAAGTGGTGGTGAGTCATGTCATGAAGAAAATGAGTTTGAAGACTCCATTTAACGCATATTGCAATTTATGTTTTTTTCTTTAATTTAGACCAGATAACCTAATGGGTATTCTTTTTTTGACTAGGTTCGAAGCATTTTTCAAACCTTTTTAAAAACTATAATTTTTGAATAAAATTCATAGAAAATCCCCCTTTTTTAATATTTTTATACTAAACAAACATAGTCTGAAATATATTTTGTTTATTCCTTGGACTATCTTTGTCATGTTAATAAATCCGCCATTAAACCTAATAAGTTTAGAATTTGTAATAAAATTAAAAATATCCTATGCGCCACTCTTTAGCAATCTGAACCACTGTGGGACGCCGTTTTTTTCTCGATCGTATGGTAAGTTCGCTTAAGTTATGTTAAGAAGGTGAGTTTGGTTGATGTAAATAATAACTCTTTATATATCTATAATTAATTTATGTTTGTTTCTTAAAGATTTATAGAAGAAAAATATGTAAAAGTGGACAACGCTGGGCCGGTCAAGCTTAATCACGTGACTAAAAGTTTAGTTGGAGGAACTGTAAATAAATTTACTTACTTTTACTTTCTTATCTATCGGTGGTCTATCTAACAATGTGCAGTTTTCAGTTCTTGGAATGTCGATGCAAGTGTCCCTCCTCACCTGCCCCTTCTCGGGCGAATCTTCGCCTTTTTCTTTTTCTTCCTCATCTTCCAGTGGGCTTTCTGAAAACAAAAACAGATGCTTTAATAAAACAGCCAAGAAGAGAAACAGTCATTCAGACTTCAAATGAGACGTTTTTGAATGGTTACACGGATAATAAACTTAATAAAACAATAATTACAAGATGTAAAGAACAACATTTTTCGAAATATTCTCACAAAAATGCTTTTTTTTCTGAAGAGTATTTATACAGGGTGGTCCGAACTGTATTCCAGAAATAGGCAGCATGTCCTAAAAAGCTTAGTTTCGGAAGTACAGGGTGTAGACAGGGCCTATTTTTCATCGGTTCGGGCCCTAAGGCCCAAGCAAAAATTCGGGCCCTCTTTTCCAATAAAATTCAAAAATTCTCTTGTTAGTTTGGGTTAAAGAAATAAAACAATTATTTTTATTTTTTATTTTTTTAATAATTTTATAAAATAAATAAACATTGAATTCAACAAAATAAATAATAAAAAAACAACAATTAATTCTAATTTTAAAAAATGCATTAATTATATCAATCTAAAGTTTATTTTATTTAATTCTATTTTCCTTTTCAGAGGTAACTGTTTTTTTTTTCTCTGCTATGACAAATTTACATTTGAAATTATGAATATTTTACAAGCTTTAACGGGCCCCCCAGACCACCGGGCCCAAGGCTCGGGCCTTATGGGTCTTATGGTAAAATACGCCCTGGGTGTAGAAGTTTAATTTTTATTTCGATTTTTTCCAAATAATTTCTGAAGTAACGTCAATATTTGGATGAAAATTGGTGTCTGGGAAATTTTATTTTAATGTCAATATGACTCATATTTGTAGGGGGCGCCACCTGCATGCGTTTTAACTGTTTTGAAGAGTAATAACTTTTCTCTCTCTCTCGTTCGTACCTGTAAAAATCTACTGAGTGAAAACCACCCTGTATTTTCGAAACTAAGCTTTCTAGGACATACATTTATACGAATCTTTTTTCTTATTTTTATCGGCAGAATAATGTTGCCGAAGTTTTCAGAATACAGTTCGGACCGCCCTTTATAAAGAATATCTTCAAAAAACTAATATTTTTAATTTTTAGGCACTCAGCCATTTATCAAAAACGATAAATTATACTTGATTTCTTGTTCAGTCAACTGAAAGATTCAAAGAAAAAAGAAAAATAAACGGATATGGGCTTTCCAAGCTTCCTCCAAGAATTGATTAACCTTTTTACCTGGATCACTGAAAAACATAAAGTTCCTGGCAGCTCGGTTAAAAAACTAATGAGATGGGAAAGGAAAATGAGAGGGAAAAGTGAAAAATTGGCCTTATTCTAAAAAGCTTTTGAGCTGAAGCTTTATTTTTGTGCTTGTTTATGAAGTTTAAAACCTTGTAAACCTTTCCTAAAAGAGAAATAAAAGTTGTTTATAATTTTCTAAGATTTTTTCAGTAAGATGCTGTATAGTAAGAAACAAGTAATATAGTTTTATGAAAAACACTTTTATGTGGCACTGTTAGTATTTTATTTTGTCACCCGTCTAACTGGCTATAACTTTTATTGCTATTTTTAGAGATAGAACTTTTAATAAAATAACAAATTACAGAGTTTTTATTACGTCTAGTTTTATTCCGTATTACCCTTTTAATAACGTTATATATAAACAAAGGTATTATCAAAAATGTTATACGCTGTCAAATGCCATTGGTTTTGGCGGGTGTAAAACTATAATCATAGATAAAGGAAATAAATTTAGATTGGAAAGCCCGTCAAAATATATTATTTTGGGTCGCGACCGTTGTACGCGATCTGACGCTGCTATAGCGATTGCTAAGAAGAACCGCCAAGCAATAACAGAAATAATTTTCTCTTGTCAAAGTCAGAATCTTCAAAAATTTTAACATCTTTCAAAATTTAAACCGCCCTCATTGAAAAGATACCGAAAAGTGTTTAAAGCGTCCATTCTCAAAGTAATTATTGCTATCTTGTGAGTTTAATTTAAATTTTACTTACTCAAACACGTGAATAATTGTGAAAAAGTGACATTTAAAACTAAAAAACTGTGTTGTGAACTGTGAACTGTGAACTGCAAAAAACATCGTGGATCGTGGCATAACGTCGGTTTCGAATGTTTCATAGGTATTTCACATACATGCCCTTATATAAAATAAAGTTTCTTGTATGCAACACACTGTATTTTATTTATAAAATTAAAAGAAAATAATAATAAATTTGAATAAACAATATTTGGCGACATAATTCCGGGAAAAGCCGAACCGATCCGAAATTATCAAAAGCTTTGGGTCGCGACCGTTGCAAGAATAGCGCCATAAAGTGTTTACATTGTCCTTATTTCTATTCTAAACTTATAATTTTCTTCACCAATAATTTTTTAAACAATTTCAAATGTTGCAAATAATATAAAACGATTTAAAGTAATAACTTCTACGTAACAAACTAACAATGATATTTTGCCAAAGATATATATTTTTATTTCTTACTTTTGTGTTTTTTTGAGATTCAGTGACGAAATGCGCACTGAGTTTATAATACAATAGAATAACATTATTTGATGTAATTCTCTATATCCAACAAACGATATAATTTAACTTTAACTGCTAAATTTAATTATATTTGGTTCTTGATACTTATACAAACAGATTGCAGTAAAAACATTCTGGAATTTTCATGATCCAAATTCTAGTTTAAATAACTTGGTGATGACTGATATTCATTTATTTGGCATTTCTTTATGGTGAAAGATGCATTAACATAAACTCATATGTATGTATTTATCATGTCAATAAACACCCAGCACCAATAATTTTTATTCAAATATCGAGTATAGTTCAGAAATTATTTAGAAAAAACACGAAATAGGAATGAAATTTCTACACCCTGTATCTTCGAAACGAAGCATTTTAGGACATAAATTTATACGAACTTTTTTACGTATTTTTATTTTTATCTACAGATTATGCTGCCAAAGTTTCCCTAATACAATTTGAAACCCCCTGTATATTGTACAATAATGATTTCCATAAAATGAATAAAATGAAAAATATACGAAATAATATACATGTACTCATTTCTTTCGAAAATCGACAGCTATGAAACTATGAACATTTCCCGGACACAAAAGGTACAATGTGAGACAGGAAATTGTAGAGAGAAACAAACCCTCTAACATAGGATACAACATTTTAATGAACAGTGCTTTCAATAAAATCAATAAAATGAAAAATATACGAAATAATATACATATACCTACTGATTTCTTTCGAAAATCGACAACTATGAAACTATGAACCCTCCGCGGACACAAACGGTACATTGTGAAACAGGAAATTGTAGAGCGAAACAAACCCTATTACATAGGATACAACATTTTAATGAACAGCGCTTTCCATAAAATCAATAAAATGAAAAATATACGAAATAATATTCATGTACTGATTTCTTTCGAAAATCGACCAACTATGGAACTATGAACCCTTCCCGGACACAAACGGTACATTGTGAGATAGAAAATTGTAGAGAGAAACAAGCCCTATAACATAGTATACAACATTTTAATAAACAGTGCTAATGAGGGCGGGCCTCATGGCCCCCCCTCTGTATCCGCCACTGATAACATAGGATACAACATTTTAATGAACAAACTAAATAAAACTGGATGGTCTTCGTCATAAATAATCATCGATAAACTACTAAATTTCCATTTCTCATGGCCTACTTGTATTTTTTAAGTCGATAAATTTACCGTAAATTTCGATAAACTCCTTTTTCCAATTTGCAATCAGCTTTATTAATTTCTATCATAAAAGTGGCTCTATATAATTTACTACCGTACCGAGGCTTGTTTTTAAAGCACTTCTAAACTTTGGTAATTTATTTAGAGATTAAAATAATAACACCGCCTAGAAAAATAGGGTAGTTTTTCATATTGTGCATCACTGAATCACTGTAGGATATACGTACAATTTTTTTCAAACGTCACAAATAATTTTTTTAACAATTTCAAACGTTGAAATAATATAAAAAAAATAAAACGAATATCTTGAAGTAATTATATATCAAAAAATTATGGTTACACTCGTTGAATTTGACACTTTATGTCAGCTAAATAATATATTTTCGTACCTTTGTGCTTAGGCGTAAAAGTGACATTTGTCCGATCAAATAAACAAGAAAAAGCTTTAGTACAGAATATTTCAACAAGAATATAAAATAAATGCTTTAGTTAATATTATTTAAATAATGAGGAAACATTTACTTTACCTTAAATAACATTCTTTGTCAGTGTGTCTCGAAGAGTAGACTAAAAGCTATTACTTAACACCTGTTATCTCTATTCGTTGTCTGATTACCCTCTCCCTAGTTTGCAAATAATATTTTAAAAATCAGTAATTTTATTTATGTATACAGTGTCTTAAAACTGAATGTATTCAATTTAAAGAAATATGTTTATTTTAAACATGTCCGTTCACCTCAAAGTTTCTTAAAAACGGTATTTGTTTCGTTTCTTTTTCAAAAACTTGATTGCAAGAAAAAAATAGATTAACACTGAAAAAAATATAAGGCTAAGGCCCCGTGTCTTCAGTTATAAATAAATAACTTTTATCTAACAAATAGCCATCTAAAAGATAAACAATCTAGAGCCTGCTATCTATAGAATATAACATTTGGGTATTTTCATACAAAATAATCCAAAATATAACAATTTGGAGGACGGACCGTTAGACACTCCGTAGAGAAAGTGTTGCCAATATAAGATATCTGAAATTGAGATGGTTATATATGTAAAGTCTATGCAACAGACAGAGACTAAAACTCGGAATTTCAAATCGTTAGATTAAAAAGTGAGGTTATTGTTTAATTGTCAAAGGCTTTTGTTAAAGCCTTGAGACTGTATGATGACATAACTCGTTATAACTCAAGAAAGGGGAACACACAATAGATCTTTAAGGTCGCGGTGACTAACTCCCCTCCTAAACATTCTACATTAGTTGTCAAAAGATCGTCAAAATAAAAATAAAAACAGTAAAATTCAACTAAAATATATTTTGTGTTCAACTCCAACTAGTTCTATTATGGTATAGGCTAGTTAAATTTACCTTTATGGAAAAAGGGAAAGATAATTCAATTTCCGCAGTGGTGAAATAGATCTATTGATGGAATGCGATTTATAAGATATTAAAACAAGGAAAAAAGTATATGTAAGTGATTTATAATAAAATTATATAAGAGTTTCTTGCCTTGAACTGCTAATATAGAAATTAATTCCACGCTATGTTCGACATAATGTGGATCAACCTGCTCTCACTACCGGTTTCGGGGCCCTACCCCATCATCAGGTGAGCTTGGGTCGTTTCCACAAAATGTCGAGCACAGCGCAGAGCATAATTTATAATTTAATTACATGATATTACTGTTATATTTATTATATTAACATTTTAGTACAATTGATAATACAAAATATGGAAGAAGCTGGTGAAGTGCAAGCAGAGATTTATAAACAAATCCTAAAACCACCATATGGTAAGTTATTAATATTGAAAAATAAAAATATAGCATAAGAATATTAGTAATAACTACAAATATGTTATTGTTCTAGGGCTTCTTATAGTAAAGAAATAGGTAGGATAGCATCGATGATAGTAATTAAAGCGAGTTTTTATTTTATAAAATAGATAAATACACTTATACTTTTGTCTTAATTATAATAAATGAATAGTACCTATAACAATTGTTACATTTACACATTATATGTACAAATTATTTAATAAAAAAGAAAAAATAAAGGAAAAATCTTGTCTGAACAAAGTTGAACTAACTGGAATTCTAGAGAGTTACTTAAAAAACAGCTTGGAGAAGAGATGTACTGTATGATCGAAAAAACGGCGTTACCGATGGCTATGAAATGCAAATTGCTATCATTTCATATGGGAAATGTCATCGATGGTCATTTCCCAGCCAACAAAACGCCGTTTTTTTTAAACATACGGTATAAGGTACTTGGTAAGAAAAACATACGGTATAAGGTATTGTGCAAGAAATTAAACTAAAATTTTAACACAAAAGAAATAAAAGCAAATGTGAGTTGAATAACAGGTTCCTGTTATAATATTTATTAATTAATATATGCGAATTAAAAATGAAATAAATAGTTTGATTTAAAAAGTTTTATTTATTTTTTACCTACTTTAGCGCTTTATTAATTAGGGAATGGTTTATAATTGAAAGGATTTAAATAAAATAATTTATAAATTGCTGTTTTATCACTATTATCCTGACTTAATGCATTCTCTTCGTTCTGATGCTCTAACAGAGGCTCTCTTTATTTTGTAACAGTCCTTGTAAAGTCCGGCACTAGCAACAACAGTTTTTTGCACCATTTCAATGTGTTTATTGGTGTTTATACCCCATACGTTCTAAAATGGTGATAGTCTACTAGGTAAGTCTTTTCCAAATAATCGAAAATCGAATTTGTGGGAATAAACGAAATCTTCAATAGCAACAATGTCTTATGTTATGTTAAGCAATTTTGTCAAATAAAATTTTCTCCTCATGCCTTATTTGCTCGTGCGTCAAATTTTTATCCGACAAATAAAGCGCTATTTGGCAGTTCAGGTCCCAAATAAGATATCTGATGGATAAGGTTATTTTATCTAATAGATATTGCTAACTATAGGTGAAGATACACGTTTTTCTGCTATCCATCAAATAAAATATATCTGGCGGATTATAACGCGCTATCTGTACCTGAAAACACCGGGGGTAAGTATATTAATTATATATATATTAATTATATTAATTATGTTTACATGTAGTTTCTGTAAATACAGGGTGTCCGGGAAATAAGTGCAAATATTTTAAGGGGTGGTAGATCTCGATAAAAGAAACATATTTTCTCTTTATCGTTTTTCAAATAGGGCCAAAATAACGGAGTTATTTTACTTTGAAAATTTTGCTAAAATTTTGAGAACCACCAAATCTTTTCTGGATTTTCTTTCTTGTAAATTTAATCTAATACCTATGTTGCCATATTATCAAGAAATTATGTTTTTTAACTAAAATCTAAAAAAAATTCCAAAAATTTTTTCAAAAAATTCCGAATTTTCAAAATCATTTTTTCGCGAAAAAAACCTCATAGGCGTGTTTCTGGGGTTGAACTATACCGCCAGTTAAAATATTTGCACTTATTTCTGGGACACCCTGTATAAAGCCAACTCTCTTAGAAAACACAATCTCTATTTATAATAATTAATTGCATTTTAATTTTAGCGATTTTTTTATGTAAACATAATTGTTCCATCTCATCTCCCTATATCAACATATCTCTAAGTATTATTTATTCTTTCAGACTCTGTTTCGGAGGACAAATTTAATAGAGGACCGGAGTAGAGGACTCTATAAAGCCATAGTCTCTAAGTCTCTAACTTGGTAAGTTGACTGTTTTGATTAGATACCTTTTTGTTGTATGTTTTTTTTTATTTTGTATATAATAGCAATTGTGTTTCTATTTTGGTTAGGCACAGAATTCAATTAAGGTTCTTCGACAAGAAGAGATTACAATGAGTATCTTGCATACATAAGTTCTGTTTTGTGACTTTTTTTAACCCTTATAGTAAATATAATGATTAGAAACATGTGTTTTATTAAGTTTATTAATATTTACTAACGCTATGTGAATTTACAAAAGTAATTGTAAATTCAATATAATAAAATGTTTTAATTTGTTGTTACTCTACTCTATATTAATAGTACAAGAAGTTGGCGATTTTAAAATATAAATTTACAATGAATAGGTTAAATTTACTATATGAGATACAACTTTTTACATAAATTCGCAAAAAAATATTGGAGAATATAAAGATATAACATATTTGTATACATGCCACAAATTAGCCATACAGCAATTTTACAAACGAGTTGTAAAACTAAAAAACAGATGGTAAATTTACTACAATAATCTGTGGCAACAAATAACCATCAATATTGTTACTAAATTCACAAATTATTTTTTTCAGTGTAATGCCAGTATTTAAAATATAGGTACCTACTTCTCCAAATAATACTAAAAACTCTTGAAGTCATCTTTCACCGCATTCTCCAAGACCAAAACTATATTTAAATACGAGAAACCATAATTTTTAATCAAAAATATTTGTTACAAACTGCCGCACAGTATTTTTAAATGCATTTTACACAGTAAGTCCACGCGCACTCACGCCCAAATCACTTTTCGACAGACAGCTACAGATTTTTTGCTAAACTTTAGCGAGTTCCCGAAAAACTAATGCCGCCAGCATAACTCTAAAGTATGTTTACACCATTTTGTTACAATAATATACATATGAGATATGTATTTCGTTGCTAAAAATACACTCCACTACATTATAACAACTTTTTAGTAATCGGCGCTCTTTCAAAAAGCATATTTAAATTGCCCGCGTTCAATAACAACAAACAATATAAACTTTATTTGATAAAGTATGCGTGTGATTTTAAATTGAGCATGAGAAATATCCAGTCGCAAAACAGATTTTTATATTTATGCGCGATTCAGTGGTTTATTCACAAACATTATGACACTTTGATGAATTTCTTATTTCGGCGTTAAAACTTTGGACTCATTTTACCTTTATACAAAAGTGCTTCGTTTGTCCGCTAGAGGGTATCAAACTTAAAAAAAACACATTTTTTCAGATATTTTATGAACCGTTATTCCGATATGAATGAGATTTTGGGTGTCTATGTTTTTCTAACTGCTAAGTGATTTTTTTAACATTTGGTTTTCACAAAAATGACGAAAAAGTACGATAAGAATGAAAACTACCTCCATCCCTAGATACATTTTATTATAAATATTTCAACTCCACCGACGACATATTTTCTTTGCGTAAAATGGTCCCTCTAGTATTTATTTTTTTTTGCAAAGTGGCTCATCCCTATAACTTTATTATTTTTTCAGATAAAAAACAAGATTTGGTATGTTAGTATATGATATAAATTAGGATTGATTGACGGTATTCAATTGTTTTTGGTACCTTCTTGTTTCACCGGAAATGACTACAGCTTTTGATTTTTAAACTGTACCATCGGTATATTTCTACTTTATTCGATAGAAAATGACACTCTGAGTAAAATTACATATCATATGTCAACTTTTGATATTTTCGCTTTAAAAAAATGGTATTTTAAATTTCAATCTAAAGTGGCTGTGTCTTGTCCTGGCCGGTTAAAAGATGCCCAAATCGTATTTTTAATCATATCTCAATTTTTTTTTCAAATGGAAAAGGGGGGCTCATTCGCATAAGTGGAAAAAGCATTTTTTTCCGAATAATTTGGTACCACACACTTGGTATTTCGAGTCAAATTGTCGTTATGTACCGTATATTACAATTTCAAATAAACCATATGTGAATATGTCAAAAGTTGACATATGATATGTCATTCTGTCCAATATGAGTGTCATTTTCTATCCAATAAAGTAGAAATGTACCGAGTGTGTCATTTAAATTTCAAAATTGTAGTCATTTCCGATGAAAGACGAAGTGACCAAAAACAATAGAAAACAAAAGGCTCAAAGTCTCGGTCTCAACTTCGGTCAGTCTTTTTATACTTCTTTCTTTACACTTATTTTTTATACTTCTTTTTTATACTTTTTTATACTTCTTTTCTGAATCTTTTTTATGCTTCTTTTTAATTTGAACCAGGTCTCTTTGAGAAGAATGGACGCCTTCTTCAAACAATAGAATACGTCAATTAATCCTAATTTATGTCATATACTTACATACCAAATTGCGTTTTTTTATCTAAAAGAATAAAAAAAAATATTGGGGTGAGCCACTTTTGATTTCTCATTTTACACCCGGTATAATTCTTTAAAAAAATATCTATATAAAGTAGTAGTAGTAGAGAAGAGGAAGTGACCAAAAGCAATAGAATACAAAAGACTCAAAGTCTCGGTCTCAACTTCGGTCAGTCTTTTTTATACTTCTTTTTTTATACTTCTTTTTTATACTTTTTTATACTTCTTTTTTCAGTCTTTTTTATACTTCTTTTTAATTTAAACCAGGTCTCTTTGAGAAGAATGGACGCCTTCTTTAAACAATAGAATACGTCCAATTAATCCTAATTTATATCATATACTTACATACCAAATCGCGTTTTTTTATCTAAAAAAATAAAATAAAAATATTGGGGTGAGCCACTTTTGAGATGCACCTGGTATAATTCTTTAAAAAATATCTCTAGAGTAGTAGTAGTAGAGAAGAGGAAGTGACCAAAAACAATAGAATACAAAAGACTCAAAGTCTCGGTCTCAACTTCGGTCAGTCTTTTTTATACTTCTTTTTTTATACTTCTTTTTTATACTTTTTTATTCTTCTTTTTTGAAACTTTTTATACTTCTTTTTAATTTAAACCAGGTCTCTTTGAGAAGAATAGACGCCTTCTTTAAACAATAGAATACGTCAATTAATCCTAATTTGTGTCATATACTTACATACCAAATCGCGTTTTTTTTATCTAAAAAAAATTTAAAAAAATATTGGGGTGAGCCACTTTTGAGATGCACCCGGTATAATTCTTTAAAAAATATCTCTAGAGTAGTAGTAGTAGAGAAGAGGAAGTGACCAAAAACAATAGAATACAAAAGACTGAAAGTCTCGGTCTCAACTTCGGTCAGTCTTTTTTATACTTCTTTTTTATACTTTTTTATACTTCTTTTTAATTTAAACCAGGTCTCTTTGAGAAGAATAGACGCCTTCTTTAAACAATAGAATACGTCAATTAATCCTAATTTATGTCATATACTAACATATCAAATCGCGTTTTTTTATCTGAAAAAATAAAAAAAAATATTGGGGTGAGCCACTTTTGAGACGCACCCGGTATAATTCTTTAAAAAATATCTCTAAATTAAGGAAGAAAAAGAATCTTTTTGAGGAAGTGAACTCGCCATAACGACATCATCCCTGTATCTTATTCAGAAAAATGTTACTTCAAATCTCAATTCAATAAATTTTTCTAATTTTAAAAGGATAAATTGTCACACTTTGTCCTAAATAAATCCATTTTCAGGATTAATAGATTCAACTCGTTCGATTAAATTAATCAAACACTTCCTGGACAAGAAAGAAAAAGAGCTCTTCACCAATTATCTCCGCAGGCAATTTAATTTAAACGCATTGAAAGCCAAGTGGAAAGAATTAAAGCATTTTTACGACGTAAGAGAGTTGGATTCTCGGAAAAACGGGAAAGATTTTCCTCCCAAGACATTTTCACTCATTTCGCCTTTTTCCTTGATAATATAGAGCCGTCGAAGAGAAACTTCAACGAAATTGGACAAACAAATGAGATAATTGGTTTGGGTCTCAGTTTTTTTATCAATCCGGTTTACTATAAAAATTACGGATAAAAATCTTTAAATACCTTTATGGATAAATAAGTAAAAACTCAATATTATTATATTCAATTATACATTTATTGTTCAGTTTGGTTCAGTTTATGTATTCCGGTTTATTTTTAGATCTTTCTTTAGATTTTTAGATCTTCGTTAATCTTAAGGTTTAAACCAAAATACTACTACATCTATATCTCTGACTACTACTAATTGCTATTAACCAACAATTTGTTTTGTGTAGTCTGTGGTCTGTTTTTGTTTAAATGTTTGTTCGTTATTCCTGTTGGGGATCTATTTTTAAATTAATGTTAATCGTTAGGCAACCAGTATTTATTTCGCATAATAAAAATTGTCATTGTCTAAATTTTACATAACCAAATTGCCACACTAACTCGCTGTCTCTTTTAGACAGGTGTCACTTATCTTGTCATTATTCAATTCATTTTTCAAATTCTCAGAATGTTGTTAACAAAAGTTTCATCTTAAAATAAAATTTTAATCTAATTTAGCTGTAATTTCTGTATTATTAATGTGTATAATCAATTTTTTTATATAAAGGCGGATTCTCACGACTGGCGTACTTGACAAATATTTGTTATTGGAATATACTTGCCATGTCGTGAGAACGGGTTCCTTGGTCACTTGTCGCGTCCCCACTCTCTGTCGGTAAATATAGCCCGAGTCAAACAATTAATCGTACACTTGCCAAGTATACTTGGCCAGCCTGGGCCAGCCTTGTTTACACTGGCCGAGGCGCAAAAAAACGACTGCGCAAATAATGTTACTCTTATAGCGTATGTCCGATTTATTTCCGGATCGTAGTGTTTTTCGAGTTAATTGCGGATAATTTAAAACGTTAAAACAATAATAGATTATGTAATATCAAATTTACATTAATAACTTCAATATTGGCGACATACCTAAATCGTTTTCACAGCAATAAATGGAGTGTGGACAAATGAGGACTACACGGGAAAAACCAGATATGTCACATTTTCATAGAAATTAAGATAGCGATACAACTTTATAGACAAATGTTAACGTCATTCGAAAAAAGAAAGCAATAATACGCTTAGTCCCAGAGATATTACAGCTTGGTTATTTTGCCCTACAAAGGAAAAATCAGAGTAGTCCACGCGTAAATGGCAAAAACCAGAGATTTACTTACGCATGGGCGACAAGCATGCATCTTGCAATTAGTATTATATTATAAAAACAAGGGATATTACAGGAAATAAACGTCGAAAATCAAAAACACAAACAAATTTATTCCGTTCGAAACTTGCCGAAGCTTACAATAAACAACAATAATCTCGACTGACCGAAAAACATAGATGAATCAACAAATCTCTCAAAAACATCATCTGACACGATTGATAGAAAACTATTATCCTTATGTAACAATCTTAAAGGTATACACATACGTAATTAATTTATGTACGTATATACGGAATATTTTTTTCGTTATCAATATGGTTATAAATTTATGTATTGTAATAAAAACCTACTTAAATATAAATTTTCAACAAAAAAAATAATAGTTTAGATTTAGGTTTTATACAACCTTTTTTTTCCCTTTTGTTTCTCCTGTTTTGTTTTGCATTTTGACAATTTTTTTTAGATTATCTATTTAGATTTTTATTTCAATATTTCAAAATATAGCGATAATTCAAAATATTAATAATTCAGAATTGGTAGTAATATAAATATTTTTCTAATTATTCAACCGAAAATAACATATTTCTTTAAAAACACTAAATTGCATTTTTCTCGGCTCCAATTAAAACGGACAAAACTGGGTTTTCCGTGTAGTCTTCAAATGATGT